GTAAGATTAATTTGAAGTTTCTGTACGATTTGGAACGAAAGGGAGAAAAGAGTGTTAATTGACTGGTCTGTAAATAAAGGTTTACGTAGTAGATATTATATAAGTGTCCTGTACGTAGGAAGGATATGCGTCTAGTCAAATGCAAAAACCGTTTAGATGGATTTTAATGGGTTTGTAGGAAGAAAGGCTCAGATGTGGCGACGATGATATACGGATTCGAGTTCAGATAATTTTAGGAAGTTTTTGGATGCTGTTAAGGAATTTTGTGTGCCACAGACTAAAGATGAAGGAACTTCTAAATAGGATAAGTGGATATTTGCTTTTTGTAGTGCTTAAATGTATAACATGTTTTTCCTTTATGTTATTTTATTGTTTGGTTTAAAATGTAGTTTATTGAGATTATGTATTTTTGTTTCCCTGTGCTTTTTTGGTGCTCCTTTGACTTTTTAAATGAAAATATATGGATGTGTACATGTACAAGTGAAGGGAATGTGCAATGCAAGTTTGTGCAATTCTTGGATTTTTTTTTTTTTTTTAAGTGAAAATAGATCGACGTGTACATGGATAAAGTCAAGGGAGTGTGCAATCCTATTTTTGTGCAATTCGAGGATTTTTTTTAAGTGAAAATAGGTCGATGTGTACATGGATACCGAGTTTGTACAATTCTTTGTCTTGTTATTTTGACTTTGTGTAGCGGCGATTTTTGGAATCGCCGTTGCCAAAAATTGCTGTTATGCAAGCCAAAATAATAAGTCAAAGAATTACACAAACTCGGAACCTATGTGCCGGCAAAAATCGCAAAGTTTCGCCAAGGGGTACCCTAAAACATACTTTTACTGAAGCTGGGAAAGGTGATGGAGTTGCATAGAGGCCGTGATAACAAGGTAAGAAGTATCACAGTGAAAACTTTTTCAGGTGTAATAAAAAGGCCTATTCAAATGCTATATCATTTGGAACTTGGAAAGAGATATGAATGATTGTTTTCAGAATTTTCAGGTATCTATTTAGTATTTCTTTAGTAACTGAAATTCATTACTTGTGTTAGTTATTATTTGATGATAATAGTTTTCTTTTCTATTTGCATTTAGCTTGTGATAGTTAGTAAGATAAAATGTACAGTAGTAGCTAGTATGGTGAAAACGTCCTTAATATACAATGTATTCGTGCTATGTTATATGCTACAAATTTCGTAAAAATATAAGCTGTACTATTTTATTGTAAGATTTTGAATTTATGATAAATGCTTTCGTCGCAGGCCGGAGGATGCTCCAACTAAAATTCTCTAAAGGGATAAACTGATGTTGCTTTTTCCGCGGTGGGGGGGGGATATAGTTAGAACAGAATGGAACGATGATATGGTAAGGTGTGTAGATTCGGCACTGTGCCACGTATGATATTTCATATTTGTTATTGTTTTCAATAAATAATCAAAAGACAACTACAGTTAATTTAATGACTCAACACTTCATAACGAAGATACCACAGTTCCAAAGTGCACTGAAACTTCAGGTTAATCATACCACCAGCAGGCATTTTACGGTATAAAGCACAAAATACAGCAATGTACTTCCTAACCAACATCCATACCTAAGTAAGCCCCTACAAACATTTCCCATCAGTCAAAATCACTGCAATGACACATCACAACCAATCATGGTTTAATTTAGCATTTAACTAACCATAAATGAAACGACTTCAAGACGAGAAGAAATCTAACAGAAATTTCTTAACAAAGATTTTCTGAATAATATTTACAGGCTACCGAGTACTATTTGAATTAAGAGTAACTGATTTTTTGTTCCCATAGCCCTTAAGAGTAAAAATATGGGAAATTATTTCATCGGGACATGGATAAGCCTTAAGCATACACGGAAAACATACATAAGTTATTATGTATGTTTACAAATTACAAAACTAATATAATTCAGGCTTAATTCCCTCACTGCGTGATAGAAGCAAGATAAATTTTAGAGGAACAACAAATCTTTAGTCGCCAATCGCACGCTATTAGTGTATAATGGATGATAGTTAAACTCTTATGATTAAAGCAGCAAGTTTGAAATCTTTCAAATATCACAAACGAAAAGCAAAATTTTTCAGTTAATGGAATTTCTGAAGAAATGTGGAAAAAGTGGTAACAAATGATTATGATATATTAAAAGTATTCCACTGCAATGACAATGTCCCAGTAATGCATCAATCAAACGGATGCCAAAATTGTTGTATGGCTCCAAATTCAGAAAATTTTGCTATGAATAATAGTGAAGAAAGTGACAAGTTTGTTGAGAATAAAAAAAATTTTGATTAACAATTTAATAGAAATTCTCAACATGATAATTACATGATTTCAACTTTATAAATGAAGAAATTATATCTTGCATTGACAGAAATATTTAATAAAGCAAACCGAGAGCTTTACTTTGTAATTATGGAACTTCCCTATTACAGTGAGTCTGATAATTGAATCGTTAATCAACCGAAATCTAACATGTAGGGAGGTGTAAGAACATGTGGCGAGATTTTATCAAGATATCTCTGTTGATTAGCGATACAATCTTGGAACTGCTGTAATAAGGATGTAGCATAATAATATATATATATATTTTTTTTTTTTTTTAGTTTTAATTTCCTTAAGGTCATAAATGCTTCATTATTTTATGAACAACTATTTCAGATTTTGGTAAAATCCTAGCATATGGTATGGCCTTGGCATGATTTTGAAAATTGTCGCCAACAACAAAATGATGCTCATCATAATGTCATCAAAAGTCACAAAATTCCATGCATACCATATGCAGAAAAAACAGTAAGCATGCACTACCTATAAACAGTACCTTAAAAATTGAAATTACATGATATCAAAATGCAATTATGGTTGAACTTCCATCCTAACATACAGAAAATGCAAGTTAAATAAATAACAATCAATATAATAATTGCAATCCCTAATTCTCTTACATCTGTTATCAAATGCAATAAATACTTTTAGAGGAATTTGTCACAAATGAACTCTTCAAATTCTAGAGATTTTTCAATGGAATTTAAATGCTAATGCTTAACAAATAAAAACAAATAAGCTACTTGTGTGCATGAAGAATAAAGAAAAAATATTTAATTCAAACAAAAATAAAATGTATTCCCTTATGTCTTTTTTAAATTATGCACAACAATTTATTATGATAAAATATCTGAGAAAAATATGCAACTGAAATTATGAAATCGGTTAAAGTAGATGAAGGGTGCCTCTTTTTTTTATTATCGTGAAGTTGTTATTTCATTTATCGGCATGTTGTTGTTTCATTTATAGTAACCTGAGCAGCTGAATTTTATGGAAACCCTATTATAACGTAATTGGTTACATGATTGGGATAAATTGCGAATTATGGGAAAAAAATTTTAAGGTCTTGTCGTGTGTGTTGGTTAGGAAGTACATTACTTGTTTTGTGGTTCAGAACGGTAGAATGGCTGAATGTGGTAAGATTAATTTTAAGTTTCTGTACAATTTGGAACGAAAGAGAAAAAAAAGCATTAATTGACTGGTGTGTAAACAAAAGTTACTTAGTAACCATTATAAGTGCCCTGTTTGTAGGAAGGAAATGCGTATGGTTGAACGGAGGATACCGACATTACGAAGGATAGTTTTCAACTCTTACTTTTGTGAATTTATGTGGCATCGTCAGTATATAGAATCTAATTCAGATAATTTTAGGAATTTTTTAGATGCTGTTAAGGAATTTTGTTTGTTAAGGAAATTTTTAAATAAGGCAAATGGATATTTCCTTTGTGTAGCGCTAAGATGAATTTCCTTTACATTATTTGATTTAAAATGTAGTTTATTGAGATTATATATTTTTTCTTGGCTGTTCCTTTGACTTTTTAAGTGAAAATAGATTAATGTGTACATGGAGAAAGGTCAAGGGAGTGCACAATGCCAAGTCTGTGCAATTCTCTGATTTTTGTAAGTGAAAATAGGTCAATGTGTACACAAATCAAGAGATCAAGAGAGTACACAATGGCAAGTTTGTGCAATTCTGGGATTTTTTTGAAAATAGGTCGATGTGTACATGGATACCGAGTACAAGCAATTCTTAAAAACGCGCCAAGCAGCGGGTGATTCTGCACATTCCCCAAAAAATTTATTGCATTTATTAGAAAAGAAAAAAAAAAAAAAAAGAGCAGTCATTAAACCAAACGCAAAGAGCTCATTCCTAGCTTAGAATTATATATATTATTACCAAAATTAGAACTATACAGACTACCTAAAAATGACTGTTGACTTCAACAAACACAGAATCTTATTTGTAAAAATAAGAAAGAAAAAAAGCTATAGAGCCCTTATCTTCTGTTATTCTACAAGTCCAGATATTTTTAATTTTTTTATTTAAATACAGCATTTTGGAAATTTATAATACTTCTCTTCTTTTTTAAGGTGCCCGAAATAATTATTTTATTCTAGATAAACAGTCTCATAAGAACTTTTATCAAAAGAAACTTCATACTGAAATTTAATTCATACACACACAACATAAAAGGGCATAGTGTATTGTATACGCCATACGAAAGAGGTATTGTATACGCCAAAAGAATTATTAGAAAATAAAAAATTAATGTCAGCAGTTTCACATGTATTTAAGAGACTTCGGGCTTTCCATCATAAGACTATCTCCTCAGAATAAAAGTAAGTTCTAGAAGGTGTTCACTGCTGCATAGTTTACCCAATTCACTTACAATGTGAAAGTGGTCTCCTGTAGAGATAACTTATATGCGACACACTTCCGTATATGGAATACTTTCCCTTTCATTCATATTATTTATGAATATAATTTAAAATGTGCATAGAAATATAATCTTGCCATATTATAGTCATTTCAAACTAAGCATATCCCGTACACTAATAATTAAAGAACATACAGATTCCGTTTCGCACAAATTTTATCGAAAAATATACAAATTTTAAAGTTTTAGAGTTAGAAATTAATGCTATAATGAAAAATACTTACGAAATGATAAGCTTACGCGATTTACAACCGTGACAAGAATAAACAAGCCAGCAAGTGACGCAACGCAGGGAGTTACTAAGTCAGCGCTAAAACACCGAACGCGCAGGGAGGTCACGTGATCGTCGCTTCATGCATAAGCCGACGTCACAACGAGCATCAACGCTCAGTACGCACACACAAATAATCTCACCGATCATTACGGCTAATCAAGCTAGTAATAGCACGAATGATCATACGCCGATTAATAGTGTGCAAACACAGGCAGAACATAATCAGGATAACGAAACAGATAATAATATGGATACCAACGTTAGCGAAACAGAAAATCAGGATAACACAAATAATCAGACGATAACAAATAATGAACGCACTGAAAGTAATACGCAAAATTCAGAGACTAACACGCAAAGAAAACTCCCACCACTAATTCTTAAGGAAAATGTCATGACTTGGGGAAATATCAAAAAAGTATTTCATACCAAAAAATTCTCATTTATTGGACAAAACTTGAGGAATGATGGCATAAAAGTCATTGCTGGAGATGCTGAAAGTTATAGAGGCATGGTTAAAGTACTCAAAGAGCTCAAAGTTGAGCACCACTCCTACATACTGCCTCAAGATAAAAACTTAAAAGTGGTCATAAATGGACTCACTACTACTTCTGACATAGAGGAAATTAAAACTGAACTAGAGGAATTGAATTACAAAATTATTGAAATTAAACAAATGTCACGACGACGACGAGGGGGGGGGAAGTCATTCCACTCCCATTATTTCTTGTTACATTACTACAAAACTGCCAAAACTGACGATTCGAAACGAATCTATAATGAATACAAACTCTGCGATATGAAAATTAAAGTAGTGGAGTATAAAGGCAGACAGGGGCCCATACAGTGTTTTCGCTGTCAGGGCTTCAATCACACCCAAGCCGGATGCAATTATGCTCCGAAATGTGTCCGATGTGGCGGAGGCCATTCAATTAAAGAATGCCCTGACAGAAAAAATCCTGATAAGCCCCTAGTCTGTGCGAACTGCGGGGGACCTCACACATCTAGTTTTAAGGGTTGTGAAAAGTATCCCAAGAACAATAATAGCACAAGTAACTCTGTCAAAAACAAAACATTCTCAAACCGTATCATAGAAGGTAAAAGTTATGCACAAGCCATATCATCAGGACTATATTCGGAAACTATCAATGAAGCAAAAACAGTTTTTGCTAATCTAGCAGAGCTAGTAAAAATCATTAAAGGCGCTGGCTTCTTGCAATTAACACAACAAACAAAAAAAGACTATTCAAACCAATCCAGAAACTGCCAAACACACAGACTTTAGATCATGGGTCAATACAGAAATAGTCGGGCCCCTATTCAGTTCATGACCTGGAACGCACATAGCGAGCGTCCAGAATAGAATTACGGAACTTCATAACTTTTTACTTGTGTATGATATTGACGTTGCACTCATCACAGAAACGTTTGCGACTCCCTGTTACAACAATTTGAATATCGCAAACTATAGATGTTATAGATGTGACAGACTAAGTCATAGAGGTGGTGGGGTCCGCGATTTTTGTGAAAAACACCCTACAATCTTGCCTCATCAGCGAAGATCGTGATAACGGATATGAAGCAGTTACTGCCTCAGTTTTACTCCCATTTATGGAGTTGTCTATTTTATTGCAATGTATAATCCACCGAACAATGTACTGGATATTGACAAATTAGCTGAACTTCTCCCAAATAATAAACATATCATCCTGGCTGGAGATCTGAACTCAAAACATACTGAATGGGGCTGTCGAAGAACCAACAATAATGGCGAAGTCCTAATCGAGTTTATCAATAACTATCCTATTTATTTCTACGCACCTGCAGTCTATACATACCTCCCAGATAACCCTAGAAGAGGAGACATTCTAGACATTGTGCTCACAAATACCGACATTCCAATGTATTTGGATGTTAAAGTTGAACTAACCTCCGACCACGTGCCGGTTATTGCTATTTTGGGCACTAACAAATGCGAAGAAAACAAGTTTAAAAATATCACTGACTGGCAGCAATATTACACACAACTGTTAGAGAACCCTCCAATTATTAGCTCACTTAAGAATAAAGAGGACATTGATAATGCGATTGAAATTCTCAACAATAGTATCCTCAGTGCATACAACACTGCTACCAAAAAAATCCCAATTGATAAAGACAATTTCCGTTTACCCAGAGAAATTAGAGATATGATTAAACAGAGAAACCGATTGAGAAAGAGGTGGCATATCTCTTGGGACCCAGGGGTCAAGAAAGAACTTAACAGACTTAATAATAAAATCAGTTGCAAGATTCGGAAACATCGGGATGAGGTCTGGAATAATAAAATTGAGAGTTTTAATGAATCTGGAAATGATTTCTGGTCTTTCGCAAGAAACACTAGGCGCAAGTCCCCTTGCAATAAACCAATTTATAGTAACAAACGAATCACACTTACATATAAGGAAAAGGCCGCCCTTATGGCAGAGCACTTAGAACAACAATTCGTACCGAATCAAGACCCTTGTGACCCTCTTTTCTCATCTAATACTAGGCAATTTATCAAAGACTGGCTTGAAGGACCAGGGGCCAAAAATCGCACTGAATATACATCCCCGACCGAGGTTAGAAACATTATCAGAAATCTGAAAAACCGGAAAGCACCTGGTTATGATGAAATAACGAATGTTGCAATTAAAAATATGCCACTTAATACTGTCACAAGATATGTTAGCATTCTCAATGCCTGCCTGGAAAATAACTACTTTCCCGAAAAATGGAAAAAGCCAAAGTCATTCTTCTACCAAAGCCGGGAAAAGATGCCACCAAACCGGAGGGATACCGTCCGATTAGTCTACTCCCAGGACTAGGTAAGATTTTCGAACGGGTCATCTATAAAAGAATTGAGCCGCATATGGATAAGCTCCCAATGGAACAATTTGGTTTCCGTAAAAAATCTCTCAACGACAAAACAACTTGTTCGTCTGTGTGAATTCATTGGATCTGCTTTATTCAGGCATCAAAGTGTCGCCTTACTCATGCTAGACCTGGCGAAAGCTTTCGACCGCGTCTGGCATGAGGGGCTCATTTTCAAGCTCATCACACTTGATTTCAGTAGAGACCTCATCTTACTTATCAACTCTTTCATACGGAACCGCAAATTCTTTGTAAATTTTGGATATGAACACTCTGAGACCAAATATCTGAAAGCCGGGTAGCTCAAGGATCTATTCTTGGTCCTATTTTGTATCTTTTTTATGTTTATGATTTACCCAATAGTGCCGACCTCAATACGTTACCTCGGATGTTATGCTGATGACACCGCCCTTGCCGTGAAGTCACATAGTCAAGAGCATGCACTGATAAAACTTCAAGAAAAAATTCCAGCCATAGAGGAATGGTGCGCTAAATGGAGAATTGCGATTAACGGACAAAAATCCCAGTTGATAATCATCGGCAAAAAACATTCCAGAATCCCTTTAGACAGAAAAATTAATATCTTTAATGAAGAAGTACCACTTGTTAAGAAAGGCTACTTATATCTTGGGGTAGTTTAAATCACAGATTTACCTGGAAAGACCACATTCACAATATTAAATGGAAGACCTCCTATACTATCAAAAATCTCCTCCCGCTAATAGGTAAAAACTCCAGACTTGATCTTAAAAGGAAAAGACACATCTATACAGCAATTATCAGACCAATTTTTTGTTACGCATCCCCTGCCTGGGCGACCTACACTCAAAGTGACATGAAAAAACTTCAAGTTACGCAAAACAAACTTCTCAGAATTATTACTAATGCGCACTTTTATGTTTCGAATGAGACCTTACATAGAGACCTACGTATCGACAGAGTTGAAGAGTTCCTTCATAAAGCTAATAGAAAATTCTTTGAAAAGGCAAAAAAATGTTCACATATGAAACACTTCAAAGTGTTCGATTACCAGATCTTTGCAGAGGACGCACGTATTCGACCACTCGCGGCCTTTACCACTCGAGACTCGAACTTCCCTACGTAACTTTATCACGAGTGCAACGTCGCTGTAAATATGTATATAGACTTATTTTGCCGTATTTTTATTTGTACTCATTTTCATTTTATTTGCATGTATTTTATTATTCTAATAAATTGTATTGTATCAGCTTATTTGTGTAACTTTATTATGACATGTACCTATCATGAACAACAGAACAAGTCTGATTTTCACCCTGTCTTCGCCTCTCCTGGTCCTGGGCTTCGTCTGCGTGTTTCTCTAGACTTGTGACGTCATGCTGTCACCCCCTCTTCGCACTACTGATGCCTCCTTTCAATCGTCATTGCTTACTACCGTCATGCGCCCTACGGGCCTATGTGCTATGAGCCGGAAACGTTGCGTAAAAACAGCAATATGCCGGCAATATTGATGATGATGATGGTCTGAGGCATTGCTCTTTTATCTTGTATCATGGATATGTACGGGCTAGTTCCGTCTACAGTTTGTATTCCTGTCAAAAAAATGCGTCGTCTTTTCCGAAAGCGACTAAATGGACAGAGAATCAGGTTAAAATTGGATGCAGTTACCTGTATGTCCGAATTTTAGGGATACATGGCTACTGAAATTTTGCAAGTAGCCTTGAATATTACTATCGGGAGAAGAAAAAGCATGATCACACAAGATGAAATTCAACTAGCCATTAGTATAGTTCTTTCCAGAATATAAGGTTAAGATCATACAGTTGTATAAAAAAGGCCCTTTTCAGGGCCAAAAAATAAGAATAGAAGATTTGCTAAATAATTGCAATCAATATAAGTACACTACACTGTAAAAAATTTGGTTCGAGGTTTCACCTAATTATGGTACCAAAAAAGTTACAACCAAAAGATGGTAAAATGTTGTTCCATAATTTGGTGCTTTGAGTGAACCATTGTTTAGTCATATGTTGAACCATGAATTGGCATCCATGCTTAGAGAATGTTTAACCATGAAGTTGGAATACGTTGAACCATAAATTGGAGACATATTGAACCATGATTTAGAAATACCGTAGACCGTTAATTATAATTATATTTACAATTAATTGTTACTATTTTTAACTATTAGTTATAAGGCACAGGAAATTATTGCAGATCAC